TGAAAAATACAACCAATTGGCGTGTCATGCTTAGAAATCTCCAGGCAGCACGACCAAGATGAGTTTTTGTGTTTTGAAAAATAAATGGAACCCTTTTGCAGAGTGGACCGATAATTAATTCCCCTCGAATCAAGTTTTTCGGATCTCCTACATTCAGGCTACAGAAAGCGCACATACTGCGTATGCCTACTCCCAAGCTGCAGAATTCCCAGAAAGTGTGTCTACTACACTCAGGATGCAAAACTCCTGAAAACTGCCTCTCTGTACAGCCAGCATACAGAATTCCGCCCAGGCTACGGATTTACCGCATAGGGTATATGCCTAGTAGGAATCTAAGAACTCCTGTAAACTGAGTTTCCTACGCTCAGACTGCATATCTCCTGTAAACAGCCTCTCTGTTACCCAGCCTACAGAATGTTTTATCCTGTGTCTCCTACATTCAGGCTGCAGAAAGCACACAAACTGCGTATGCCTACTCCCAAGCAACAGAACTCCCATAACTATGTCTACTACACTCAGGATGCAGGACTGTAAATGGCTCGCTCTTGAGCTCGCTTATACAGCACCTTTAAACTGTGTCTCCTGCACGCATTTTACAGAAAGCACTCATAGTGCATATACCTCGTCACAACCTGCAGAACCCCGTAAAATGAGTCTCCTACACTCAGGCTGCAAAACTCCTGTAAACAGCCTCTCTGTACACCCAGCTTAGAGAACTGCTTTATGCTGCATCTCCTACATTCAGGCTACTTTCTGTACACAAACTGCGTATGCCTACTCCCAAGCAACAAAACTCCCACAAACTGTCTTACACATTCAGGTTGTAGAACTGCTGTGATCTGTGTTTCTCTACATCCATGGTACAAATCCCTCTTAGTAGTTTTTTTGTCTGTTCTACTTAATATGACTGGTTTAATTCTGTAATTAATACACAGTTATTCTTAAGTGTTGAAATTTAACTGAAATGTGATCCCTGTTAAACATAAGAGTAGGAACAAGAGAGGGAAGAGATATATAATTTGGGACATGCTCAAGCTGACTTGCCCCAAATGGTAGAGTTAGAAACATACCAGGGGACTCCAATTTAATCCCATCAAGGTGGCATGTACCAATGCCATCTCACTAGTCCAAGTGATCAATTTCAGTTCACAATTGATTATAATGAAAGGACTAAGAGTCAAAGGGAGCACATAAGCAAGTCTAGTACCTGCTAACACTAACCGATAGAATAAATAAAGGGGAGAGTGATCCAACATGGGAAGTGAGATACTCAGCAGACTCATAGAATGGCTGATGTCCTGAATGGCACTCAGGCCTCAGAGTCAGCCCTAAAGGCATTCAGATCTGGCTGAAAAGCCCATGAGAGTATTTCAGGCATGGAAAGCCAAGACACTCTGGCAAAAGATCTCTGTGAGTGAGATCTCAGTGGAAAGAACAGGTCTTCAAAGAAGGAGGTACCTTTCTCTGAAGGGAGGAGAGAACCTCCACTTTGACTATGACCTTGTCTAAACAAGATAAGAGTCGGAGAACTCAGAGGGCTTCCATAGCCTTGGAAACTCATGACTGGAGCATAGGGAGATTACTGATGCCATAGACAGGAGTGTCAATTGGTAAAGTCAACAACAGGAGTCACTGTGCACTTACTCCTCATGTAGGATCTCTGTCCTTAATGTGCTGTGCATTGAGATTTAATGCTATAACAAGTACTCAAATAATATATTTCACTTTGTGTTTCTATGGGGGTGCAAACTGTTGAAATCTTTACTTAATGCATACTAAACTGATCCTCTGTAAAAAAAAAAAAAAAAAAAAAAAAAGAAACTATCAACTCCCAACTTGACTCTCACTGGGATTAAACATGACAATAGGTCTGATCTGATTTCATCATCATTAAAAAAAAAATCATCTATTATTTTTCACTTTATGTTTCTGTGTGGAGCAAACTGTTGAAATCCTTACTTAATGTATACTAAGCTGATCTTCTGTATATTAAGATAATCGAAAATGAATCTTGATGTGAATGGAAGGGGAGAGGGAGTGGGAAAGGGGAGGGTTGTGGGTGGGAGGGACGGTATGGGGGGGAAGCCATAGTAATCCATTATTCGTACTTTGGAAACGTATATTCATTAAATAAAAGTTAAAAAAAAAAAAAAAACTCCCGTAAAGTGTTTTCCTATAGTCAAGCTACAAACATCCTGAAGAGTGCATAAGCCATCTCAGAATTTACAGAACTCCCATACACTGTGACTACTACACTCAGGCTGCAGAACTGCAAATGGCTTGCTCTAGAGCTAGCTTACAGAATGCCTATAAACTGGGTCTCCTGCGTGTAGGCTACAGAAATACCGCAAAGTGCATATGTCTAGTCAGAACCTACAGAGCTCCCATAAAGTGATTCTCTTACACTCAGGCTACAGAATTGCTGTACACAGCTTCTCGGTACCCTCAGCTTACAGAACTGCTTTATGCTGCGTCTCCTACATTCAGGCTACAGAAAGTGCGCATACTGCGTATGCCTACTCCCAACCTGCAGAATTCCCACAAAGTGTGTCTACTACACTCAGGCTGCAGAACTCCTGTAAACAGCCTCTCTGTACACCCAGCTTAGAGAACTGCTTTATGCTGCATCTCCTACATTCAGGCTACAGAAAGCGCGCATACTGCGTATGCCTACTCGGAAGCAACAGAACTCCCACAAACTGTGTCTTATACATTCAGGCTGCAGAACTACTGCCAACTGTGTCTCTCTACATCCATGTTACAATCTCCCGTAAAGTGTTTTGCTATAGCCATGCCACAAACATCCTGAAGAGTGCATAAGCCGTCTCAGAATTTACAGAACTCCCTTAAACTGTGTCTACTACACTCAGGCTGCAGAAAACCTGAAAACAGCCTCTCTGTTCACCTAGCTTACAGAATTGCTTTATACTGCGTCTCCTACATTCAGGCTACAGAAAGCGCACGTAGTGCGTATGTCTACTCTAAAGCAACAGATCTCCCATAACTATGTCTACTACACTCAGGATGCAGAACTGTAAATGGCTCGCTCTTGAGCTCGCTTATACAGCGCCTTTAAACTGTGTCTCCTGCACACATTTTACAGAAAGCACTCATAGTGCATATACCTAGTCACAACCTGCAGAACCCCGTAAAATGAGTCTCCTACACTCAGGCTGCAAAACTCCTGTAAACAGCATCTGGGTACACCCAGCTTAGAAAACTGTTTATGCTGCTTCTCCTACATTCACGCTGCTTTCTGTACACAAGCTGCGTATGCCTACTCCCAAGCAACAGAACTCCCACAAACTGTGTCTTTTACATTCAGGCGGCAGAAGTGCTGCGATCTGTGTCTCTCTACAGCCATGTTACAAATCTCCCGTAAAGTGTTTTCCTATAGTCATGCTACAAACATCCTGAAGAGTGCATAAGCCGTCTCAGAATTTACAGAACTCCCATAAACTGTGTCTACTACACTCAGGCTACAGAACTTCAAATGGCTTGCTCTAGACCTAGCTTACAGAATGCCTGTAAATTATGTCTCCTGCGTGTAGGCTACAGAAATACCGCAAGTGCATATGCCTAGTCAGAACCTACAGAACTCCCATAAAGTGATTCTCCTACACTCAGGCTACAGAAAACCTGTATACTGTGTATGCCTACTCCCAAGCTACAGAATTCCCAGAAAGTGTGTCTACTACACTCAGGCTGCAGAACTCCTGTAAACAGCCTCTCTGTAACCCAGCTTACAGAACTGCTTTATGCTGCATCTCCTATATTCAGGCTACAGAAAGTGCGCATACTGCGTATGCCTACTCCCAAGCTACAGAATTCCCACAAAGTGTGTCTACTACACTCAGGCTGTAGAACTCCTGTAAACTGCCTCTCTGTTCAGCCAGCATACAGAACTCCGGTAAGCTGCATCTCGTACACTCAGGCTGCAGAAAACCCGTATACTGCGTAAGCCTACTCCCAACCTGCAGAATTCCCACAAAGTGTGTCTACTACACTCAGGCTGCAGAACTCCTGTAAACAGCATCTGGGTACACCCAGCTTAGAGAACTGCTTTATGCTGCATGTCCTACATTCAGGCTACAGAAAGCGCGCATACTGCTTATGCTCACTCCCAAGCCACAGAACTCCCATAAACTGTGTCTTATACATTCAGGCGGCAGAACTGCTGCGACCTGTGTCTCTCTACATCCATGTTGCAAATCTCCCGTAAAGTGTTTTCCTATAGTCATGCCACAAACATCCTGAAGAGTGCATAAGCCATCTCAGAATTTACAGAACTCCCATAAACTGTGTCTACTACACTCAGGCTGCAGAACTGCAAATGGCTCCTCTAGAGCTAGCTTACAGAATGCCTATAAACTGGGTCTCCTGCGTGTAGGCTACAGAAATACCGCAAAGTGCATATGCCTAGTCAGAACAACAGAACTCCCATAAACTGTGTCTACTACACTCAGGCTGCAGAAAACCTGTACACAGCCTCTCGGTACACCCAGCTTACAGAACTGCTTTATGCTGCGTCTCCTACATTCAGGCTACAGAAAACCCGTATACTGTGTATGCCTATTCCCAAGCTGCAGAATTCCCACAAAGTGTGTCTACTACACTCAGGCTGCAGAAAACCTGTAAACAGCCTCTGTGTACACTCAGCTTACAGAATTGCTTTATACTGCGTCTCCTACATTCAAGCTATAGAAAGTGCACGTACTGCGTATGTCTACTCCCAAGCAACAGAACTCCCATAACTATGTCTACTACACTCAGGATGCAGAACTGCAAATGGCTTACTCTAGAGCTAGCTTACAGAATGCCTATAAACTGGGTCTCCTGCGTGTAGGCTACAGAAATACCGCAAAGTGCATATGTCTAGTCATTACCTACAGAGCTCCCATAAAGTGATTCCCTTACACTCAGGCTACAGAATTGCTGTACACAGCCTCTCGGTACACCCAGCTTACAGAACTGCTTTATGCTGCGTCTCCTACATTCAGGCTACAGAAAACCCGTATAGTGTGTATGCCTATTCCCAAGCTGCAGAATTCCCACAAAGTGTGTCTACTACACTCAGGCTGCAGAAAACCTGTAAACAGCCTCTGTGTACACTCAGCTTACAGAATTGCTTTATACTGCGTCTCCTACATTCAAGCTATAGAAAGCGCACGTACTGCGTATGTCTACTCCCAAGCAACAGAACTCCCATAACTATGTCTACTACACTCAGGATGCAGAACTGCAAATGGCTTACTCTAGAGCTAGCTTACAGAATGCCTATAAACTGGGTCTCCTGCGTGTAGGCTACAGAAATACCGCAAAGTGCATATGTCTAGTCATTACCTACAGAGCTCCCATAAAGTGATTCTCTTACACTCAGGCTACAGAATTGCTGTACACAGCCTCTCGGTACACCCAGCTTACAGAACTGCTTTATGCTGCGTCTCCTACATTCAGGCTACAGAAAACCCGTATAGTGTGTATGCCTACTCCCAACCTGCAGAATTCCCACAAAGTGTGTCTACTACACTCAGGCTGCAGAACTTCTGTAAACAGCTTCTCTGTAACCCAGCTTACAGAACTGCTTTATGCTGCGTCTCCTATATTCAGGCTACAGAAAGTGCGCATACTGCGTATGCCTACTCCCAAGCTACAGAATTCCCACAAAGTGTGTCTACTACACTCAGGCTGTAGAACTCCTGTAAACTGCCTCTCTGTTCAGCCAGCATACAGAACTCCGGTGAGCTGCGTCTCGTACACTCAGGCTGCAGAAAACCCGTATACTGCGTAAGCCTACTCCCAACCTGCAGAATTCCCACAAAGTGTGTCTACTACACTCAGGCTGCAGAACTCCTGTAAACAGCATCTGGGTACACCCAGCTTAGAGAACTGCTTTATGCTGCATGTCCTACATTCAGGCTACAGAAAGCGCGCATACTGCTTATGCTCACTCCCAAGCCACAGAACTCCCATAAACTGTGTCTTATACATTCAGGAGGCAGAACTGCTGCAACCTGTGTCTCTCTACATCCATGTTGCAAATCTCCCGTAAAGTGTTTTCCTATAGTCATTGCCACAAACATCCTGAAGAGTGCATAAGCCGTCTCAGAATTTACAGAACTCCCATAAACTGTGTCTACTACACTCAGGCTGCAGAACTGCAAATGGCTTGCTCTAGAGCTAGCTTACAGAATGCCTATGAAACTGGGTCTCCTGCGTGTAGGCTACAGAAATACCGCAAAGTGCATATGTCTAGTCAGAACCTACAGAGCTCCCATAAAGTGATTCTCTTACACTCAGGCTACAGAATTGCTGTACACAGCCTCTCGGTACACCCAGCTTACAGAACTGCTTTATGCTGCATCTCCTATATTCAGGCTACAGAAAGTGCGCATACTGCGTATGCCTACTCCCAACCTGCAGAATTCCCAGAAAGTGTGTCTACTACACTCAGGCTGCAGAACTCCTGTAAACAGCCTCTCTGTACACCCAGCTTAGAGAACTGCTTTATGCCGCATCTCCTACATTCAGGCTACAGAAAGCGCGCATACTGCATATGCCTACTCGGAAGCAACAGAACTCCCACAAACTGTGTCTTTACATTCAGGCTGGAGAACTGCTGCAATCTGTGTCTCTCTACATCCATGTTACAAATCTCCCATAAAGTGTTTTCCTATAGTCATGCCACAAACATCCTGAAGAGTGCATAAGCCGTCTCAGAATTTACAGAACTCCCATAAACTGTGTCTACTACACTCAGGCTGCAGAAAACCTGTACACAGCCTCTCGGTACACCCAGCTTACAGAACTGCTTTATGCTGCGTCTCCTACATTCAGGCTACAGAAAACCCGTATACTGTGTATGCCTATTCCCAAGCTGCAGAATTCCCACAAAGTGTGTCTACTACACTCAGGCTGCAGAAAACCTGTAAACAGCCTCTGTGTACACTCAGCTTACAGAATTGCTTTATACTGCGTCTCCTACATTCAAGCTATAGAAAGCGCACGTACTGCGTATGTCTACTCCCAAGCAACAGAACTCCCATAACTATGTCTACTACACTCAGGATGCAGAACTGCAAATGGCTTACTCTAGAGCTAGCTTACAGAATGCCTATAAACTGGGTCTCCTGCGTGTAGGCTACAGAAATACCGCAAAGTGCATATGTCTAGTCAGAACCTACAGAGCTCCCATAAAGTGATTCTCTTACACTCAGGCTACAGAATTGCTGTACACAGCCTCTCGGTACACCCAGCTTACAGAACTGCTTTATGCTGCGTCTCCTACATTCAGGCTACAGAAAACCCGTATAGTGTGTATGCCTACTCCCAAGCTGCAGAATTCCCACAAAGTGTGTCTACTACACTCAGGCTGCAGAACTTCTGTAAACAGCCTCTGTGTACACTCAGCTTACAGAATTGCTTTATACTGCGTCTCCTACATTCAAGCTATAGAAAGCGCACGTACTGCGTATGTCTACTCCCAAGCAACAGAACTCCCATAACTATGTCTACTACACTCAGGATGCAGAACTGCAAATGGCTTACTCTAGAGCTAGCTTACAGAATGCCTATAAACTGGGTCTCCTGCGTGTAGGCTACAGAAATACCGCAAAGTGCATATGTCTAGTCATGAACCTACAGAGCTCCCATAAAGTGATTCTCTTACACTCAGGCTACAGAATTGCTGTACACAGCCTCTCGGTACACCCAGCTACAGAACTGCTTTATGCTGCATCTCCTACATTCAGGCTACAGAAAAGTGCGCATACGTGTGTATGCCTACTCCCAACCTGCAGAATTCCCACAAAGTGTGTCTACTACACTCAGGCTGCAGAACTCCTGTAAACAGCCTCTCTGTAACCCAGCTTACAGAACTGCTTTATGCTGCGTCTCCTATATTCAGGCTACAGAAAGTGCGCCTACTGCGTATGCCTACTCCCAAGCTACAGAATTCCCACAAAGTGTGTCTACTACACTCAGGCTGTAGAACTCCTGTAAACTGCCTCTCTGTTCAGCCAGCATACAGAACTCCGGTGAGCTGCATCTCGTACACTCAGGCTGCAGAAAACCCGTATACTGCGTAAGCCTACTCCCAACCTGCAGAATTCCCACAAAGTGTGTCTACTACACTCAGGCTGCAGAACTCCTGTAAACAGCATCTGGGTACACCCAGCTTAGAGAACTGCTTTATGCTGCATGTCCTACATTCAGGCTACAGAAAGCGCGCATACTGCTTATGCTCACTCCCAAGCCACAGAACTCCCATAAACTGTGTCTTATACATTCAGGCGGCAGAACTGCTGCGACCTGTGTCTCTCTACATCCATGTTGCAAATCTCCCGTAAAGTGTTTTCCTATAGTCATGCCACAAACATCCTGAAGAGTGCATAAGCCGTCTCAGAATTTACAGAACTCCCATAAACTGTGTCTACTACACTCAGGCTGCAGAACTGCAAATGGCTTGCTCTAGAGCTAGCTTACAGAATGCCTATAAACTGGGTCTCCTGCGTGTAGGCTACAGAAATACCGCAAAGTGCATATGCCTAGTCAGAACCTACAGAGCTCCCATAAAGTGATTCTCTTACACTCAGGCTACAGAATTGCTGTACACAGCCTCTCGGTACACCCAGCTTACAGAACTGCTTTATGCTGCATCTCCTATATTCAGGCTACAGAAAGTGCGCATACTGCGTATGCCTACTCCCAACCTGCAGAATTCCCAGAAAGTGTGTCTACTACACTCAGGCTGCAGAACTCCTGTAAACAGCCTCTCTGTACACCCAGCTTAGAGAACTGCTTTATGCCGCATCTCCTACATTCAGGCTACAGAAAGCGCGCATACTGCATATGCCTACTCGGAAGCAACAGAACTCCCACAAACTGTGTCTTTTACATTCAGGCTGGAGAACTGCTGCGATCTGTGTCTCTCTACATCCATGTTACAAATCTCCCATAAAGTGTTT